GTATTATTATTATTTATTAATATTAAAGACGATGAACATTTATTCACTATTGAGCCTAGGATGTGTGAATGCTTGAGTACAACGCCAGATTAATTGAACCTTTCCTTAAATCAAAAAGCATAATGGCGAAACATTGTAGTGACATTAAACAACTATAAGCCTACATGGGACGATATCTTGATATCTGTTTCGAGGTCTGTTGTTCTGTTGTCTTCCTGCTTTGCTCACTTCGCTGGTTACTTTAGGACTAATTGCAGTCAAGCGCTAAAAGGAACGGGAAAAAATCATATCACATTAACATTTATTGATGAGTATTTTCATGATAGAATAAGAGAGAGATAGAGAGAGTAGAATGATAAGTGTTTATGATTTTGATTTATTTTTGAAAGGTTTTCCATCATTCTTTGTTTAGATTGTTACCCTGCTTTTCACTAAAAAAAAAACGCGTGCTTTAAACTCTGCAAATTTCATGTAAAGTCAATTTACATGATATTTACAGAGTATGTAAATTCCCCGTAAATGGCACTGAATGTTACCTAGAGCAGAGTCACATGAACCATGAAATAAAAACTAAAAAGTACTAACTAACAGGTACTATTAGTTCCTAATAGTCATTAGCACTGAACCAGAACACTTTATTTGATCCAATAAGCAATACCCAAGAGAACACTATAACAATCAAAGCAATCTCTTTGTACTGTTCTGGTTCAGTGATAGTGTCTAAATAGTGCCTATTAGTTACTAARTATTTAGTTTCTATTTCATGGTTCAAGTGACTCTGCTCTATAATACCAACACAACTACAACCGATTCCATACTGAGACTTTTGATAAATGTTATTGGCCGTGGCTCTGCGTCGAAGCGAAAAAGTACCATAGCCAAAACGCCTATGAATAATTACCTTGCGTGCGTAATTGTCAAGGTGAACACTGCAAGCTCAACTGCAGTTTCACTTCAATGGTAAGACCCACCGATACAAGATATCGATTAAAACTGCACATCAAGTAATACTGAAGTATGTATAAGAGTATTGAGAGAAGTACCTTCCATTCTGACTCGTAACCAGTTTGTTGATCYTTTGGTCTTGGTTTGGCTAGTTTTCCCATAGCAATGTTCAGATTTAAGACKGGTATTTCTGTATTCCCACACGTTATGGCCTCTTGTAGGGCACGATGAACAAACACATATTGTTCCTGCATTCCAAAACCACATTTGAAAAAAAAAGACTTTAAACATAATATTATAATTTAGAAAATACAATGGAACATGGTGGGTGGGTTATTCTTTTTGGAAATATTTGAATCACCAGTGCCATTTTTCGAAATACAAATAATTAATGGAAAGTTATAGTGCTTGAGGAGGGTATTCCGGGCGAAAGACCCTTGGAAAGACTTCCGGTCCACATATTCATATCATTATTTTTGAAGAAATGACATCCATTTGAGTTTGGCCAGAGCGTTAAAGACCATTTCCATTCGTGGAAAGCGGTGTGTTTTCTTGAAATATGATTTGTGAATACAAAACCTTTAGGCTTCTTGTGAAAAAAACGGCGTTAAGAAAAACGGTGATATTCAAGAATTTCTATCGAAAGCCACAGAATTGTGGAGTATGTACTTGCCTCTGTTTGAACCATCGTGCTTCTGTTATCTCTCATCAACTGGACATAGTTGAAAATATCAATTGTTTTGTCTTTTTTGACTTTTTCCATCATCGCATCTACAGCCAGAAATGCTCCAGTTCGACCAACACCAGCACTAGAAGAAAATATGATAAAGATTGCAATTGGTGCGGAACAAATTGGCATTGGTACTTATTGTCCCCTTGCAGACACCTTAAGAGTAGAATGCTTTGTTTTCACTAACGCTTGATGCATGAATATGTAGGAAACAAATCTACGCTAAGGGTTCTTTCCAGGAAAAAAACCTAAGGTGATCCTTTCACTTGACACAACGTTTTTCGTCAAGAAGCTTAAGTTTTTCCTGGACCTCACCACTTGGGAGGAGTGGTGAGTATAAAAAGCAAAGACTTCTAGGGAATTGAGTGTAAAATTGAGTGAAGATCTGCCAGAGGTTGTAAGAAAACTTCCACAAACCTGCAGTGAACAAGCAAAGGTGCTGTTGAACTACAAGACGAGTACTGCGACCTTGCCTTGCGACGAAATCCTAACACGGACGTGGCATGCTGCGGCACWCCCTTGTCGGGCCAGGAAATGTACTGAAAATGGTAAACCTGACGACTCTCTGTCTCTCCATCCTGAAAGAGKATGTGATTTCATGGAACGAAGCAGGAAACATCGATTATTCAAAACGTTAGAAACTAAAAGAGCCTAACCTTGCAGACGATTAAGACCCTGACAACATAGTCGGCCATCGTGTCAGTGCGATGTAGKGTTACTGTRAATTTACCGTTAGTTTCCTTCTTGTCCGGCCAGTACTGATGACACTTCACCTGTAAGAGGAAACCAACGATGATGATGATGATGTGCTGATGTTGTTGTTTATCTATTGTTGCATTTTATACAACTGTTGTTGCCGTTCTTGTTTTGGAAAATTACAAACCTTTCCCGCTTCTATCAAATTAGTAAGCATGACAATGGTCTTGATGTTTTCCTGCCACACCATCTGCCAAAAATCTGGAACACTAACCGGATTGGGTCCTATTGAAGTTTTTCAATGATAAAAAAGGAAATCAAACAATTGATATTTGTAATGCAAAGCAAATGATTAATTAATAATGGTATACTTCCAGACAAACCCGAACTGATAGGAAAATCAAACATATTTCACAATTTACAGCTGCAAAAAGCAACACTGAGGGTCAATGGTGGTTACCTTGCGTTGCAATGTAAGTTCTAGGAGTGCCGTCAAATCCCTGAAACAAAAGAAAAGTTTCATTAACAACAAAATTTCTTCAGAGCACTAGGAGAAAAGAAACCCAAAATCTTCCTGAACGTTTGTCAGTGGGCTCTCAAAGTTTTTCCCCAACTAAAATGCCAATGAATCGTAGCATGTTTTCCTTATTACAATTGTATTTGCTAGTTAAAAGTTTCAACTCACGTGGATGTACGAGGCGTTGACATAGTCTGAGCCATTAGATGTATCTTGTAGAACAACTCTCGAGTGGTCATCTACATGGATATGATTCATATAATTGACAGTCGTGATTACTGGATTGAATATCGCAACTTAAACAATGATAATATGTACTTATTGACTGAGTGGGAGGGCTGTACGGGAAAATATTTGGCTCGAGGTTGTGCCGTACAAATGCCCGAGAGCCAAATATTTTCCCGTACGGCCCGACCTAACTCAGTCAATAAGCATTTCATCATATGGCAGCGTTTTTTAATGTAAAACATAAAAATAAAAGCGTGCGGATCTTCAAGCCAGGAAGATACGGGTTTTTACGGCCCTGTAGCGAAAAGGCGTACGGCTCCCCGTCATGTGACCATTTCCCCAAGGTTTTTTAAGAGCGCGCGTACGGCCGAAATACGGGTCTTATGATAATAGATTGTAAGAATCACCTAAAACCACTTACATGTGATGATATTTGCATATCTGTTCTTTGGTTTGTTTTTAGGATCCTTTGCGGCCGTCCAAGGAAACAGTTGCCCACTGGAGAGAAGCTGCATGAAAATAAATAAGTAAGTGAAAACAAATGTCACACTCTTGCTGACAATAAGACGAGCTCACCTTGAATTCGTCTTTAAGAGAATCCGCCCTGTCATTCACATACTGGTTAAACTTATTGGCGTGAATGGGTTGGTGTCGTATTGCCTCAGCATTTCCATACAGGTCTGCATTTTCATCATCACAAACTTCAGGGCTCCCGTTATCTATTGAGATTACAATACCACTGAGTGTGCGGAATGCATTCAATATTGCACAAGTTCTACAACTAGTTGCAAGAGCATAGCCATGCAAATAAGAAAATGTGTACAAATTTTAATGTAATGACAGARWTCTTGTAATTCGGTGTAACTGCCACACAAATAGCGATAATACACGAAAGGATTTTGCACCAGCATGCTTTGGTACTCATATTAGTTTACAGGAACTACGAAATGTGTTTCCATAAATACAATAATTCTTTCGGTGAATCTCGMTCGAAATTCGATGACTGTTATCCCAGATGGTTAAAATTATACAAAATTAAACAGAACACACACAGTAGTAGCATGCACTTATGTGACTTTCTATTGATGACCATAATTACAACTGCCAGAACCCTCTTTGGAAGTCATCACCTTGCATTTTCTTTCACGTCTTCTTTTGGTCATGCAGCTTCCAATGTTTTGTATAAACAAATAATCTAATTTCTTTCACTCGATTATCTTAATAAACTTGCCGGAACCCTTTTCGGAAGTCATCATTTTGAATAATCGATTTTAACCTTAGGATTTTAGTAGTTTTCTTTGGGGTGCCTGTTTCTATTCTTATGAAAAACTCTACGGACATCAGAACACTCAAACTGTAGATACTGTAAATTCACCAATAAACAAAATACAGCTCTATGAACATCTCAACTAAGCCTATGACAGGGTGCTTGAATTAGATTAATATTATTCAATTAGCAGATTCCTTTAAGAAGCCGATTATGCGTATCAATTTATCTATAATTCATTTATAATTATCTCTAATTTTACTTTATGCTTCTTTAATTGTGATTTTTGCATGTGTATTAGTAAAAAGAATGTGAACTATCGTACCATTATGAACATATCCAGCATTAGCATGAGTGGACACTTCTCCTCCTTTTAAACAAACGTTTGAATTAGCAGACAAATTGAGAAGCTTGGCATAGGATTTTATCAGTGTTATTATCAAGTCCAATTGCCTGCGCCGACCATGGAATGAATAAAATGCGCAAAATCACTTTCTGATTCCACCCCAATAGTGCTGCCCAATAGTGCTGCTGCTGAGAGCTGTATGCCAATAACGCATTCAACAATTTGCCCTAAAATGTGGTTATATGTCTGGATCTAAAATGTTTGGCCTAATGTTGCAGGGTATATTCGAATGGCAGTAGATATTACTGTGTGTAGTACACAAAGTTTGGATTGACATAAATATCAATCAATTAATAAATCAATTCATTGTTCATTTTATTAATTTGTGAGCTAGTCAGCCCGGGCTTTGGTTCATTTTCTAAAAACGAACCTGCTTCAAATTTTAGGCTAAATAGGTATTTAAAAGGGTGTGAAAATTGTTTTTTTTTAGTCTAATACGTTGCTTTTTAAACATTCTAGGTTAGTTTAAGCGGGATGTATCGTTTTTGTAATATAATTGAAATAACCAATACAAGCAAGCATTTACGTTCGTCAAAGCCTCCTCTGGACATAAACAAAACTACGTAGGTATAGAGACATTTTTAGACGTTAACAAAGCGTTTATGTGTGGACAAGGCCTGGAGATCACCTACTTTCAATCACACCCCTATTCTTTTGCTGGATATCGTCCATGTTATTAAGCTTCATGTCATCATTCGCTTGGTTGTTGCGTCTTCTGAAAAGATCACAACCGAATTTTCATCTCATTATAGGTGACAATACACTGAGTTTTCTATTGCACAAATTCTTTACGGCCCGTTTACACTTGCTATTTTTGCAGGGCGATTCTCGCGGCGATCGTTGCGCGACCATCGCCTGAGTTTCGAACATGCTTGAAAATTGGCTGTAGCTGCGCGGCGATTTTTTCATCGCCGCAACATTCGCAGGGTTGCTTACACGTACGATTTTAGTTGCGCGATAGCAAAGTGGTGATTACCGCGCGACAATCGCACTCAGGGGCGGATCCAGAATATTTAGAAAGAGGTGGCCGGTTACTTAAAAATGGTTTTGCGTCGCGTCGACCGCCGAAGGTGGGAATATATAGGGGGTTCAGGGGCATGCTCCCCCGAAAAATCCGCCGCTGGCACTCCAAAAATCGCAAGGGTATACGKGCCTTTAGGAGGGCAATCATCAAAACGTAGTTTATTCAAGCATGTTTTTTTAAGTTAGAAGTTCACTTACTTTCTCCAGAATATTACACCAACAATAGCGGCAACAATAATAATCACCATAAAAACAACCACCAATGAAACTACCAATGGAGTATCGGAGCYGCCGCCAGGATTGCCTGATTGAGTCGATTTATCTAAAAGAAGTTAAGCGCATACTGTCGTACAATATGATTCCATTCCTGCGTGCTTTTGTTGTGTTGTCTGCTTTCGCTTTCGAAGCGCAAAATTCAATTTGAGCTGTGCGCAGTTCGTTTGGGAGTGAATGACAGTCTGTCTTGTTTTGACATTGTGGGCCCATAAAATAATAGTACATGATTGTGGGCAAATCTACTCAGTGCCAACCCCTGTCATAGTTTGCATTGTAGAGGGAAATGGTTAGGAAGCCTTTTGTTGTAGGTTTTTGTGCACTTTTTCCAAGCGTGGCCGTGCACAATCTTTTGTTTAACTATTGTTTTAGACATACTGGTCACATCTGAATGAACATAGCGAAAAATATTCTTTTGACTATTTCTTCCAAATGCACAAAAAATTTAAGCAATATTGAAATACCTCATAGAGGGTGTTTATGTTTAGCCATTTTGCAATTTCCATCGTCCGTAAAAAAAGAAAAAATTGTGCACGGTCTTGACGGGTCCAAACCCAAAATACGTACAAAAGATGAACATAAGAAGGTTTCCAAACCATTCCCCTCTATTAACGATGACTCTATGGGGAACGTTTACTTGGACTTGTGTAAAAAATTAAAAGCTACAAAAGGGAGTRATTATGTTATGAGAATGAATATGAAAATAATATTACCATCCTTTATTGGTACTTTTCCCTTGGCAATCATGACCATCCCTCCATATAAAGGTTTCTGGACAAATAGAATACAGGCATCGAAAATTATTGAAAGATTTAAAACTCATGCTTTTCTTTGAGAATATAACACAGATAAAACAAACGCGTTCCCTTAGTCCATATCACAAGATCGCCATTTTGAATTGGTTGGCAATGTATCATGGGATACTAATCTACCTGTCTTCGTCAAAATAAAGTGCTAAAGTCGGACTAAGTTAACGTAGTGAAATAGATACTTATGATAATGAAAACAAATCCAAGAAGGCGAAGAAGAATATTGATATAAAATCAAAATAATTTCAGTTCTTTCACCTGCTTTTTATTCCTTGTCACCCCACATTGATAAACTTTATACTCTTCTCCTTGACTAAGTTCTTCGTTTTTCTTTTCTCCATACATTTTGCCATCTCCAAGTGTGAAGAATCTTTTACTCGGGCCTAATTTATATGCTTCGCTTGCTTTGGCCTGACAGTCTGAAATGGACCGTCTTTTTTTCTGACCACTTTGAACATTTTCCACAAATACCAAGATCTCGCTATTCGATTAAAGAGAATCATTTCAAAATAGTATTTATGTAGTACTTTCTAGAAGAATGACTCATAATTTCCGAAAACTGATCAMTAAATGGTCAAGCCCAAACAACAATGTACAGTYAACTMTCGCTATTACGGACACCCTCGGGACTGTAATTTAGTGTCCGCAGTAACGAGAGTCCGTAATAACGGGAGTCTCTTTCAGTAATTTCTTTGTAATTTTTGCCAGGGATTCAGTATTCCGTGACCGTAATATCGAGKTGTCCGTTATAGTGGTGTGTCCTTAAGGCGAGAATTGACTGTTTTCATAGCTTTGTGGCCTTTTACCTTATAAGACCATTGATGGCAGATATCTTCCACAGTGTGATGTTCGCAACAGTACCACTTATAGTCGAAATGTCACCTTTCGTCGGAGCAGGTGGAGCTGTCAGGATAACAAAATAATTTCCTTCACACAAAAGTAACTGGTCTTACATTCCAAATCATAAGAGGATATCTCTCTCTGGAAAACCTTATACTTTTACATACTATGCAAATGATGTGTAAATTTTTTGTAAACAGACTGTAAAATTGATTTTACAGGACCAAGGTACTTTTACATACAATGTAAATTTCAAAAGACTTTGTAAATCATTTGTAAATTATTCCTCGTACTACTCAATGTAGATTTTTTGTAAATGTGAAAAAAGTGTTTGTAAAATACAATTTCCAAAATGTTTACATACATAGTATGTAAAAGACTGAGATTTTCCAGTTCTAATCTACAGTTTAAGGCATTCTCATTGTATCTCTGCTTTCTCATTTCTCAAAACCTTTGTACTAATTAGTGGAAATGCATCCATATTTGACRCAAAAAACATGGACACCAGGACGCCATATTCCAAATAAGTGYATTCATTCAACAATTTCTTACCTCCAGTTTCTGTATCAGCAAATGCAGGTTYGCTGTATTCTCCCTTTTCAGCACATTCCGTTGCTGCCGAAACTATGAATCTATATTTCGTAGCAGGATAAAGACCGGTGATTGTTAGACTTGTCATCTTGGTTTCTTCTTCACCATCAAATGTCTTTTCCCCATAAAAGTCATATTCTTTTTTTCCAAAATACTTGATCTGCAGTAAAATGTTATATATTATATTTATACTTATAAAAAAGTAATAATGCTATATTAATGTTGCAATCCAATAATGCTATGTTGCTTAAAATGTAACAGGCTATATAAAATGTATTGMATCACTCGTGTTCACGGAAACACGGAAAGTATCTTCTAATTCTTCTAAAAAAGCACTTCGAAATACATGTATGCACTCTAACAAAAAATATTATAGACGAGGAATCTGGGCCAGGAAAAAGGGGTTCAGCTTTTCCTTTTCGGAGAAATGGACGATAGTTTGCAACCACTCCTTCCATCAAATAAACTGGACAACTTAATGACATTTCTATTGTGGCAGCATTACTTCCGCCACCAGGAGCAAGTTGTTCGAAGGCTCCATAATGTTATCCATCCTGCGATGTATGGATATCATCTCTTTGATATTATTCCCCCCTGGTAGTGAAAGTTTTATCACCCAATCGTGTAAACGGCCCACTGAATTACCGTGTACTTTAGAACTGGCTTTGAAAGTGGTTGAGGTTCAAGCCAAGTCAGCCTGACTGAATTTTTACCAATATTTTCTGTTTTAAGCTCCCTTGAAGGTCCTGGAACTGAAATTACAAAAAGAGGCATAATCACATTAACGACAAAAATTATCAACTGAAAAACGCAGAGAGAAGAGTGAATGGGCTTTCCTTTTTATTGGAATCAAATCTATGAATTGGACAAATGGAAATCAATAATATTTATCTAAAGAATGAGATGGAACTTTGATACCTGATTTAATCGAGATGAAAATGTCACTGAAAAAGTTGTTTTAATTTACAGGGTTTGTAAATAATAAGTACATATACTGTAAATACACTGTAAATTCAATTTACATACAAAATGTCCTTTTACGAAGTTTGGAAATTTTATGTACATTCTGTAAATATCTTGTAAATTTTGTTCATCGATCAAACATTGGAAATATCCTGTAAAATCAATAATAAAAGTTTGTAAAAAAGGACCTTTTGTACGAAAATCAAATAATTTACTGTAAATTTTATCAACTATTCCAGTGTCTTATTCGTTTCTAAATACGACGGCCCCAAAAGACTTTTTTTTATTAAAATAATAATTACGGCTACCTGATGTTTCTAAAGTAAAGTCTTCGGTAAATTTTCCATGTCCTTTGCCTGTGTATGCACGCACACTCACATTAAACTTAGCACATTGAGGGAGATTATGAAGAACATGACTACATCGATGTCTTGCGGATCCTCGACAGGCTACTTCAGGGCAAGTCACGTTTATAAACGTTTGAAGATTCGATAGTCTAGAAGTACTGTTAAACCGAAGTACTGATAATTCATATATGAGGATGCGACCTTCGGTTGACGGTATTGGTGACCATGAAATGTTGAAAGTCGATGTGTTGTGCTCGTCAGACTTCAAACCAGAAGGCACTTCCATAGGCGCTGCAAGACAAGAGATTTCTTTTATCGCACAGACAGCCCAGAGGACTAAAATACATGAACAATTTAAAACTTTTGCATCCGTTCTAAAGAAAAAATTATAAACACACTAACAAAAAATAAATAAAACTTTCACCAGATACGTCAATCAAAATAATCATGTCAAATTGCAAGGAACTTTCGTAACACATTTGTCACATTATATCAACCAAAAGGATTCCGGCATAGAAATGCAATCCTTTAAATGAGAGGCGTAAAGGTCCATGGTCCATCGATAGCCCTTTAGAGCTTTTGTTTGTTTAAAAATAAAACGCTGTGTCTATATGGCCGGTTACCGGTCAAGGTCTTGAAAATGCTAAATGGCCGGCAGCCCATAAAATGTGTTTTTTCCCTCTCTTATTATCTAAACGAGCTTCCAAACTCCAAAATAAAACTCTACGAGTAAAATGAGTGTGTTAAAACTTACATAAACGTCGCGCCGAAATTCGTTGCACTTAGAGACATTGTGCGAACTTGAACCGACTGCCGGCCACGCAACAACGAAATCCTAAATGGCCGGCAGC